TACCCCCAGAACGGGTTGATTGACTCGAATTTGTTTTAAAATCGCTTTTTCATTTCTCACATCGTTTAGGAAACAGGTATAAACACATCACTCATTTGACGCGAAGTGAAAAAATTCGGGTTTTCTTTATACAGCCCGTTTTAAATTTGAATTATTATTACAACAAATTTGAATTATTGTTCGCTTCCATTTCGGTCCCCCGCGCAAATTAACAATTTAAGAAGTATCGAACAAAAATAACAAAATTTTGTTTACATTTCAAAACGGTTTCTGCGAGTGTGCTTTAACGACACAAGTATAAATGCCTGAAAGAAATTGAATTGGATACGAAATTGCGAATAAAATTACCCATATTTAATTAACACAAGTTTTGTAATTAAACAATAAACAATTTACGCAAAAAATAACATTTTAAGACTTTTTACTATTTGCAAACACACTACATGTGTTAGTTAGTGGTCATACAGCTGGTCTGACCAACGAGAGAATGGTGGATAGGGAAAAAAGAGAAAAAACAAGATACACACTGGAGAGTTTAAGAATTTTGAAAAGAAATATAACAATAAACAAAAAAGAAGACACTGACGACATCCCGGCTGCATACTTATTATGTTTATAGCCTTTTAGTATAAGTTAGTTCAGAAAATGCGATGGACGGGGCATGGATGCAAAAAATTTACAGCATGCGACACCTACTGCAGCTGACATGAGACGGCGCACAAATTTGGTATCTGATTTGTGGTTGGGCGGCGACTCCGGTTTACGCCCATCAGTAAGCGAATCGCCACAATCCGCATAAAGGCGAAATTTAACAACATCAGCCTAATTTGTGTGCACGCCCCGACGGAAGAAAAGGACGACGAGACTAAAGAGCTTTCCTATGAGCGTCTAGGAAAAGCGTATCAGCGCTGCCCCCGCCACGATATTAAAATTGTTCTGGGCGACTTTAACGCCAGGGTGGGCAAAGAAGGCATATTTGGTCCAACAGTCGGAAAATTCAGCCTTCATGACAACACCTCCGACAACGGAGAGAGGCTGATCGACTTCGCCGCAGCACGGAACGTGGTAGTCAGTAGTACCAGACACCAGCATCGAAACATCCACAAAGCAACTTGGGTGTCCCCTGATCAAAGAACAAAGAACCAAATTGATCATGTTGTGATAGATGGAAGATACGCTTCGAGCGTTCTTGACGTGCGCTCTATCCGAGGTGCCAACATCGACTCGGATCACTACCTTGTTGCAGCTAAAGTCCGCATGCACCTCTGTGCAATAAAAAACGTGCGGCAGGCAACGCGGCGAAAGTTCGACATCGCAAAGCTGCAGTCACAACGGACAGCCGAAAAATTTAGCAATCGTCTCTCAATCCTGCTTAATCAAGCAACTCCTCATCGCCTGGACATAAATGAGCAGTGGGCCTCCATCTCCAAATCCCTTCGTACCGCTGCGGAAGAGGTTGTTGGTTACTACCAACTGCGCAGACACAACTGGTACGACGAAGAGCGCCGCACACAGTGGTTCGGATCGCAAATCTAGCTGGACGAAACTATTTAAACAAATACTCGTTAATGGATCTTTATACCACTTCTTACCTAGGGGATTTTCGGGTCGCTGATTACGAATCTGAAGTCACTTATCAAAAATTCTAAATGGCGGATCCAATATGGCGGACGAAAATTAAAAAAAAATCGGTAGATTTCTATGAAACTGGGTATCTGGGGGTTTTCTGGGTCGCTGATTATATATCTAGTCATTTTCCAAAAATTCAAAATGGCGGATCCAGTATGGCGGACGAAAATTAAAAAAAATCGGTAGATTTCTATGTAACTGGGTATCTGGGGGTTTTCTGGGTTGCTGATTACGAATCTAAAGTCATTTACTTAATTTACTTTATTTACTTCGGAACGAACATTTTCATCAGATATTTCTTTCAATTTACTAATCACATAATCACATACACCTTGTTGTCTTTTAGAAGTTTCAGCAACACTTCTCCAAATGTCAAACAACTCACTTCTTAAGGTTTTCTTTACCATGACTAAAATTTAAGATCGCAGCAAGAAACACAAATAAATTTCAGAAACAAATTATAACAGCGCTTAAAGATTTGCATGCCTGTTGTATAATTTTTTAATTTCAGAAAGCAGAAAATTCGCGAGTTATTATTTTTTTAACTCTTACATAACCAAAGTTTTTATAACTCCAAGTATTTTTCTGTTTTAACACACAGCCATACGACGATTTTTCAGAATAAATTTGCTTATACCAATGTGGACATAAATTGCGTTATGACCTCTGAATCTATAGCGGAATAAGTGTAATTTTTTGTTTATAAAGTCAATTTGCAATTATGCAA